AGGGGGTGTGAGGTGAAATAAGGTGGGTTTCGATGTCTCCGAAAAAGTTGAGGTTGTAAAAAGTTGTTGAATTTTAAGGCTACTACAAAATACAAATGACCCTTCGTAACACTTTCATTAATTGACAAATTTTGTCTGCTTCTTTGATATTTTTATTCTTCGTTTTGTATGAAACGAAACGATAATCTTGTTGACTAAACAACATTTTCTTGTTTTTATTATACCCGATATATTTTATTTTTATTCAATAAATCAAGCATTCAATAATAAAATATGTTCCATTAAATGATCCAATTAGTATTATTTAGTGCCGCTACTAAGACAACTAGAATAAGTAAATTTGTGAACTTCATACTTTTAGTTGGCCTTATAAAGCACAAGGATAGTCACGCACTTTTTATGGAACTTCATACTTATGTAGTCTCTTAAAATAAATAGTACACTTAGTTGAACAAGTACTTATGACTTATGAGAAGCAAATACAACATAGATATTGAATGTCTGATGTATAATTAGGTTTTTGAAATGTATGAGAGAAAAAGATAGTACTAGTATATTTTAAGTGATATATAAATATGTTATACACCAATTAAGAGCTACTTATATTCAATGAAAAATATTGTTAACATTCCTATTTATCCAAATAGAGAAAAGAAAAAAGCTAACCGATTTCTTTCTATCTGCCTAAGCTTTGATAGACAAAATTATCTGGTGCATATGCAGATAAAAGGTATACAAAATATCCGATAGAATAGTTGATATGTGCGTAGGATACTTCGGACATCATTGTTATACAACAAAATTCCTATTTAACCCCCCACCCCACCCACCCCAACCCCACCCCCACCCCACCGTCCAAAGACCCTTAAATCCTTGAGGGTTGATGGATTTTTTTTCTTTTTAAGTAGGATAGCAGATTTGGCAATTCAAAATTATGATTGCAGATAGGAATCCAAGTGAAAGAGTTGTAGGCTATTAGATTATGAGAAAGACAAGTAAAAAAATGAAAGTGATGCGCACATTGGAAATCAGGTGACAAACTGAGGGCTATTTCTCTGAAAAGTAAAACTGCTCAGTAGTCTTGGCTTGGATTTTGGATGCTTGTGAGTATGTGGTTGGCAAAACTACAATGTGGGCTCTCAATGGCAGAATCAGGATTTCTAACTATATGGATTTTGGATTTCAGAATGACGATCAAATGTTAATAACTGAATTTTAAATTTAATTTTTTTATATTTTTAATGAATTTTTTAATACAAATTCACCGTACAAGAAAAGCTACTGGATTCGGTCGAACCCATATCCACGCTTCTGGCTCCGCCACTGTGGGCTCTTGTGATGACCCAACAGGTTATTTATAGTTTTACCCTTCATTCCTATTTTCCGATTTGCATGCGCAGTCCGTGTCCTTGTTCCGGAAGGTTTTTATGAGAAAATGAATGAAAATGTGAAATCGTGCCTTAAAACCGATTAGAGATGACTACAATTAACGTTTTGTGTAAACAGACACGGATCAGTATTTTGACGGTTCAGGTGGTCCGAATGGTGATTTGGGACTTGGATGTATGCCCGGAATCGACTTCGGAAGTCCCTAACTCGATTTAACGTAATTTGTTGAAAACTTGTAATTTAAAGGTTTAAAGACTTTCTAAGTTTGACCGTAGGTTGACATTGCTGCTACCGGTTTGAATTTCGGTTCCGGAACCTGGTATAGGTTCATTTCAGTATTTATGACTTGTCTGCAAAATTTGGTGCAAAACGGAGTTGATTTGACGTGATTCGGACGTACGGTTATAAAATTCCATGTTCTTGAGTATCTTTGAAAATTTTAATTATTTTGTTGTCTGATTCGTGGTTCTAGGTGTTATTTTAAATTTTTGATAGCGCGAGCGAGTTCCTATGATGTTATTACACTTGTATGCATATTTGGCTTGGAGCCCAAGCGGCTCGGGTGAGTTTCGAATAGGCTACGGATGATTTTAAACTAAATTTCTGGTTTTTGGAAGTCTGTTGTATTTGGTGTATTCTTTTTCGCGATCGCGAAGATACTCCCGCGATTACGAAGAGTAATCTGGGCCGGGGAAGTTTTTCTCTATGCAAACGCGAGGCTGTGTACGCGAACGCGAAGCTGTGGTGGGATCACCCTTCGCGAACTCGACCAGCACTACGCGAACGCGAAGAGTAAGGGGTCTGGGAGGGGGATCTGGGGTTTGCTCTACGCGAACGCGATGGCCGGGGGGATAGACCATCGCGAACGCGCACATCCCCACTCGAACGCGTAGGCCTTTGGCTGCTGCTGCTTTGCGATCGCGTCTGGTGTCTCGCGAACGCGATGAACACCTGACGCCCACACTTTAAAAAGATCCCAAACACGGGATTTCACCTATTTTTCACCATCTTTTCATTAGAGCTCGGCCTAGAGGCAATTTGGAAGAGAAATTTTATCACCCTTTTATAGGTTAGTGTACTTTAGCTTGTCTTCTTCCATTTCCATCAACACTCATTAATTTCTAATCTTAATCTATGTTCTTTCAAGGTAGAAAATTAGGAATTTGGGAAGAATTAGGGGTTTTGTATATCTGGGATTTAGACCTCAAATTGAGATCGGATTTCGAAACTAATTATATAACCGAGCTCGGGGGTGAATGTATAATTGGGATTTGGTCCGAATCTCGAGTTTTGACCAAGCGAGCGCGGGGTTGACTTTTGTTGACTTTTTAGGAAAAGTATAAAGATCTTAACTTTATGTATTGTAATTGATTTCCCTAGCATTGTTTGATGTTATTGAGTTGATTTTTGTTAGATTCGATTGGTTTGGAGGCGGATTTTAAAAGAAAAGCCCTGGTTAAGCTTTGATTTGCTTGCAGACCGAGGTAAATGTTAGTCTAACCTTGATTTGAGGGAATTAGGAACCCTTGAGCTATTTGCTATGTGAATTTCATGTGTAGCATCATATATGCGAGGTGACAAGTATATATACGCCGTCAAATACTTGTTTTTATGCTTTCCCGTATTTTATTAATTATTTTATTTCAAGTCTTAACTGTTACATGCTTTAATTGCTTCCTATGATTTAACTTGCTAGTTGTCAATTATTTCTCGCATAATAAAATGTATGTTTCTCCCACGCTTCCATGATTAATTGCTACTTGCTTTAATTGTCTTACTTGTACACTTTAATTGTCATATATTTGACTTGTCTTGTTATTTTGGACTAAGTGTAGCATTCGTTGACTTGATACAGAGTTCCCTATTGCTTTGCTTTCATAATCTTTAGTCGTAGAAATTCTTGTGAATTGAGTTGTTGAATTTGATCACATTTATTGATTTTGTTTATGAATTGGGTTTCACGTCACAACGGGTGAAATAAGGGAGAATTGATATAGATATGGTGGGATTGGGTTGCACGCCACAACAGATGTTATTCATGCTATTGATATGGTAAAATAAGGGAGGATTTATATTGATATGGTGGGATCAGGTTGCGCCTCGAAACGGATTTTATATGTTATCTTGTTATTGATATGGTGAAATAAGGGAGGATTGTATTTGTATAGTGGGATCGGATTGCGCGCCGCAACGGGTTGTGTGTTTGGTATTCATTGTGCATTGCGTTAGCTTTCAATATTTTCGTACAAGATTCTGAGCACCGATATCTCTGATTTTACTAATTTCGAGCATTGATTTTACTTTCATAAGTTA